GTTTGCCTTCGCATCCAAAACCAAACACATATTATAATGGTTTTTTTCAATTAGTGTTTATGTATACCGATTCGCTTGTTTTATTATAGCATCAGTCCGGCCACGGGCAAGGAGTTATTCCCCTTGTATCAACTTGTAAACACAAAGCAAGGTCACGTGTGTTAAAGACTCAGGAGTTTAGTTATACTTTCGTCTAAGTTTCTCTCATGAGTATGAATGATTTGTGGTTGGACCCTTAAAACGTTCGTGCATTTTTTTACAAATGTTCCTGTAATAATGTCATTGTATATTTAAGTCCAGTCAGAAATCAGAAATCAGAGTATTCGAGTGAGATCTGGTCACCTTATCAAACTACATTTGTGCACCAAAATAAAAATATTCAGAGGAATTTGTTTTTTTTTCATTTTAATGTTTCAAAGCAGCTTTTCAATTTCACTTCCACACTGCAATACAAGTTATTAGCAGGAATTCGTGTGTACTGGACTGTATGTTTGAATGTACTCTGTCTATATTAAAAGTATCGCTGAAAGGTTTTATGTTTTGAATAAGTTCCATAAATACGCATTGTATTCTACATTGTTATCTATCTTATATAGTACAGGTTTGTCTTTATCTTGGATATTGTATTATGGTACAATTCAAATATATCTACATCCTATAGATACATATATTAGATAGACAGGCGGGGAGGGGGGGAGGGGGGACAAAATTATGCTGAGAAGTACTTCAATATCATGGCAGTAATCTTTTTAGGACTATTAGGACAGTTATGTGATGGTCTAAGTGAGAAAACCTACTTCATTATTGCAATAGAGTTTATGTTTGTAAAGAAATGGGATTCAACGATTGAATGGAAACTACTTTAATAAGTTAGACAGATAACATAATATTAAAGTATGCTGCCTAACACCAGTATGCCTCTACAACAGTTGAGCTGTGACCAGCTGTGAACATGGATGAAGCGTTCAAGGAACTTTGACCCGTCTCACCGAGTTCAATGTCCAAAAAATACTCATTACAGGGACAGAGAGCCGACGGGTATGGGAACTTCTCACGCTCGAGACCGGGGAACCAATCTATGAGGAAAATGGATCCATGCCACCTACTAGACAGACTGCTGATAATGTTGATTCGCAGGATTAAGCTTTATGCATGTGTTTTCAGCGTGTCAGTGTGTTAAGCGTTATGCTTTCAGTATCAAGAACTTTGTCAACTTACAGTTACATTTCAGTAAAGCAAACCTTATTCCTTCTGGATTTACAGAAAGTTATGCCGATTTTACATATAATTGTATGTATTCTCTTTCGGGATTTGTAATACCAGATTCATGTATCTCTTTCTATTTATTTATAATTGAGACAATTTTTTTGTTTTATTATCAGGTTTTGTCTATTTTCCGTCATACAAGGAGGCCTGTAATTGCCTGCTCCTTATCTGTATTATAATATTACTTAGTACAGGAAACTTATCAGGGTAACGTGTTTGTAAGTTTGAAAGTTTTATATATCCGTTCGTATTGGCTAGGTCAGATTCCTGGAGTCTTTCCTATACAGGTGATAGAGTAACTGTATGATTACACAAAGGTATAGTTTAGGTGAAATATTTCTTTGATCTTAAGATTTGAGGAATGTGGAAAACAGGTTGTTGTCCTAAGTGTTAATTTTACTGTTATCCTTGTATGTCCATGTATTACCATCCTATTATAACTACAGACACAGTACGGCTATTCTATCGGCGTATACAGTTATCACTGGTGCAGTCTATTTGTTTACATTGGTGTTTACTTTTGAGTCGACTGGATTTTTGGGAGTTATCGGAAAAGGTTCCGAGCTCAAAGCGCATACGTCATAGATTAAACCAATCAGAAAGGGTATCCGATACAGGTTACATAGGGTCAGGAGGATTTGGTATAACAGGGGATGCACATGCAGCAACAGTGATTTGCGTGACCGGAAAGCTGGCTAAACCAGGAGGAAACCCTATCCACCCAAGCGCTGACAGCAGTGCTACCGATGCACTGAAAGCAGTACACCTACGTTAGGTGACGTAAGGGTAAGCTTAAGAAGCGCACAACGGGGCGAACGATTGTTAAATCGCCCAGTTGTGCGCACCATGTGTGGACGATGTGCGTACGGTGTGTGAGCGATGTATGCACGGTGTGCGCATGGTATCTCTGGTGCGTTGTGCGGTCACACATCTGTAACATATGGCTAATTGTTACTTACTATTTTTAAGGTAATTGCATATCATACTTAAATGTGCAAGCAGATTGCAACTATGTATTTGTTATTGCTACACTGATCCCATCAAAGACACATGGGGAGGAAATATGTGTTCACTTCATTGTAGGGTGCGCTGCACTTAAACGTGTAGTCCAGATGAAGTTTAAGCATTGTTTTAATACGTAATTTGTCCTAAGTAAGCATGCTATTCACTGGCAAAATTCCAAAGTATTGTACAGAGCAAACGATCTGAACTAGTGGCAGAGAAAGGAAGAAACCTGGATACGTCACCTGAAGCAAGTTCTGAATCGAGATGAGGGGGCCCATATTATCTCGCACATCTATCAACAGGTGTTTAACAAAGTGTAGGCTTGTCTATTGTTCCGTTTGATTAATCATATTATACAACAAGAATGCAAACACTTATAGCGTAGCCTATTCAACGGCGATTGTTATTGCCAACTCGTACATATTTTGCACCTTTGTGTATATACGTTTCACTGGTCATGTGTCCGATGAAGGAGACATCGTACAAACTGTGCTAGTTATCGAAATTCACACATAAACACTTAAGATTTTTCTTCATGAACCATTCTAAAATCCATGCGTACCAACACGAAGATAAGGTTTTGAAACTAATGGGTGAATTTTTCATGTCTGAAGCACTGAAGCAGCCCCTTTGAAGGTCCGACTGAAGTAGATCTACATGTGTCACATTTCTAGTTAATACAAAATCTTATTCTTATCTCCCTACCAAATTCAGGTCGAAGTAATTTTGAAAACTTATGTGCAATATTCTTTCTACGATCGTGTGACAGTCGTTACCCCGAACTTTCAGTACTTTATTATTTAGCAACAAGTTAGGGGTACGGGGGAAGAAATCCCAAAAAGTGGGCATATCAAGTGAATCATCATTACAAAATTTAAAAGCAAGAAAGATGGATATCTAATGATATGTGTAGGTGTGATAATTTGATGAAACCCGACATGTATCATGCTTTTCCTGTCACTCAAACGAAAAATGCAGAAATGAAAATGTTATAATTTTATGGAAAAAAAGTGTAAAAATATAATAAGCAAGAACATTACAACACTCGAGGTAAATTTTCATATACAACTGGAAAGGTTTTTCTTGTGTACATGTTTTTCGAAATATAAAGCTTGAAAGGAACATGGTCCGTGGCATCCTGGAATTAAATGAAGGGGGCGCTGCAGTCACAAATTGGTTGTTTTTGAGGAATAAACACTGTTTTGCAGCTTGACCAGCAAATACATTATATGTCTCATGAAATAAATCACCGACGTAAAAACAGCTTTCAGATATATATATATTAAAAAGGTATCGCTACCCGTCCGTCATCATAACACATTATTTTGACGTCACTTGTTCTTCTTTCGTTTCTTTTTCTCTAAATACCATGAACTTAATTTTATCTACATATATTTTTTCTCGTGTGTTGTAATAGACTGTATCGTCTTACTGTTGATCACAGCTGTTTTATAAACAAGTTAAGTCATTAGCATAGTTTATATATTGCCAAACCTTTGGTTTTTATTTAGGTTTGGGCGGTTTTATTAGTTAACTTGTCACTTGTATTGCAATGTATCTCTAGTTATAGCAGTGAGAACGAATTCAATCTGATGTTTTCCCCGATATAGCTTTGTACGCAAAGGCAGACTACAGTGTTTCTATTAAATATGTTGTTAAAATATATAGTTGAAGGTCGCATTCGGATTTATTAACGTTAACAAAACGATGTTTTTCTCTTTCTATTCTCAAATATTTAGTTCTATAAAATAATATCAACATATTGAATATAAAAAATCCGTAAAACATTGAGTTGAAAAATTGTAATACATCATCAGTCAGAACTATAAACTAATCAACTATGTTATTGACATTCATATTTCAGTGTGATAGATATGAGTAAATTCACCATAAACTTGCACCTCACACAGTTCCAACATCATTCGAGTACCATGATTTGGGTTTCTCTCGACGGTCAATGTAGATGGTCAGATACCGGACGTACTGTGTCGTAGACATAGACGCTAACACAGCTTTGATATCCATGTAGCACCTGTTTCTTGATGTCCAGTCAGGTATGTCTCGTATCCGGCGTTCTGTTTAGTGTAATATCGTGGATGCTGATGGACACATTTACAATAAAGCTTCGAAAGATATAGCTTGATAAAGACTACTGGCATATGTTATGGTCGCCATCAGAATTTAAGTCGGGATTTTGAGATATGAACATCTAAGATTTTTCTTATCAGTTTTGTTTACCAACCTAGTTCTGTCTTTGAGAACTTCAAACTACTTTGGGTTGACTTATATTTGTCGATGCGGAGGAATATTAGTACCTCATGCCACATCATGCTTTTAGAGATATCAGAAGTCTTCTTAGTGTTCCCAATATCCCATAATCAGTAGACACCATATTACGGTATAATGCGGTAGACACCACAGCAAGGACTGATTAAAGCAGGGGACAATACACATTTATCGTCTTAAACGATGGACGACGATCAAACATTCAGATTAAGATATATCATGTACATTATTTCTTTTGTTTGTTTGTTTGTTTGTTTTGTTTTGTTTTTCCATGATGACAATTAAGGTTTGCTCAAGTTCACAAATCAGTCTTTTCAGCTAGTCAATGGTACAGAGATAATTATCTGCCTGGCAACTGCTTTATCAAAAAATATTCTATAAAGGTATATTTTGCTTACTCCCAAACAAGACGATTGATAAACAAAAAGATGATTAAATGCTGTTTTAATATTGTTTTTATTACATTTGCTGTCATGTATTAATGAATATTAGTCAAATTAAAAACATTATAAGAAATATACAAATGATAATAAAAATGTAATTACATCATTAACACATGTAGGGTGGTCATTGTCGACTACAGGCAAACACTACAAGAGACGTGGTCCTCCTTCAGAATTATTTGTCTTCATATACCCATACACCTATGGTATAGCTTGGTACGTTGTAACTGGAAATGTATATACTGAGGATACGTCACAATCTACGACAAAGACCGCGTTCTGTGACTTTGTACAACTAAGACTTCCAATGAATTTTAGTAATATCAGTGTCAGGCGAGATCGGGTTATTTTAGTCGTGGGCTTAGACTCTGTAACATGAAATGTTAGAGATACTTAGCCCGATCTCGCTCAGTAACAGGCAATTTTATTTTTCTCGAAACTCCGAGATCGAATTTTTGTTTTCGTTTTTTCCCGCTTATGATTACAACTATCCCGTCTGGGGACTCCAAATTAACATGGTATCTACACTACTAAAACTACATGACAAAGAAAAACAATAAACCTGTTGTCTGTTTTCACAAAGAAGACACCGTACTTCACCATGTATATTATATTTTATCTACAACATCATTAATATAACAACATCAAAACAATACATACAACGACAAAACAGAATATATATAATGCATCCAATGTATACAATTTCGAGCCGTTAAGGCACGGATTAATACGTCGCTTTTTAAAAGTTCGCGTTAAGATACTAACAGATATAAGACCAGAACGAAAATCCTAGCACGGGGTTTGACGCGGAGTATATCTGTCTGAGGTGAAAGAATATTAATTTCGGCGACCAGACAAGATAGCACGTACGTATTTAGGTGAATATTTGCAATCAATCATGCTTTTAACAAGGTGACGTGCATCAAATGCCTAATAACGTAGCATATCTGTTGAGAATATCTGTTTTGACATTAAATACCTTTTATATCTTTGTTTTAAACAAAACAACAGTCCCTTACGTGGAAACAAAACTAGTGCCCATGCCATAGGAAGCACATACAAGAATAAAGCATGAATCAAGTCCGTTTTAAATAACTCTATCCAACTTGAGAAAAAAAAAATACTTAAAGTTCACGTAGAGTTCGGTTCCTTTTATCTTAATTTGGATATTGTATGATTCTTGGTCGACAACACCTGGGCACAACCACTGTAGCTAGTAGGCTTAGTAAGTTAGAGTGACACTATACTGATGGAGGTTCCAAGCTTGAATCCTTGTCTAGCCCCGTTGCTTTTGATTCAGAGCACCGGAGTGGATTATTTAATTATTTATTTATTCCCTTTTTATTTTCCAAACGTATTTATCGATTACATGTATCAGAGATTAAGGCATACTGGAACAAAGCTTCTAATGTATATTTGCAGTTTTTGGCAGTGTGTGCGATAACCCTTAACGTATATGTTATTGATATTTCCTTCCAGTTATATAATTTACATCATTTAAATGATTCACTAATTTGTAGGTACAGATCATTAAGATATACCATAAAACCATTTACATGTTTAAACGTATAGGGAATGGAAATTATTATTGTAAAATGTTTTGTTAGACAAAAAGCATCTTACCTATATCATAATAAGTGGAGAAAAGTTGATATTAAATGAAAAATTTGTCTCTTTGCGGTCCATGTGAAATCGATAATCTGTGAAAACTTCGTACGTATAGATTCATGGTTTGGATATTTCCCACGCAAACTACGAAAATGACATTAAAAGCTAAACGTGTACCTGAAAAAAGTATTCGAGAGAGTACGTCAATTTTTGCAATTAAAACAAAGCACACATATCAATTAAGCTATCCTATTCTTATTTTACAGGACGATTTCGATGGAATCAAGATATCTACAATTTGTGTATTCATATGTTACAGCATACCTTGCAAATTAATGATATACTTAAAATAAACGATTAAATCACATCTTCATACAATGGTGCAAAGCAAGTGACAAATATATCTGAATAAACCTGTAGGATTAAATATATGTATATTTTGTTTCAATTATTCTCAACTTCGAGTTACATTGCAAATACGCTTATTTAAATATATTGAAGCTGTTCAAACATTTTAGAATTGTCTCAATGCATTGCTTATCCTGGTTAGAGGAAAGCTGAATTATAGTGATGGGGAAATACTGCTCAAACAAAAATGAAAGCAGCCGAAAACTTACTTATTGTATCATTCAATGCAAAGAAATCTCTTTTAAAAAGCCAATAAATAATGATATCGTTCAACACATTACTGACTGTGTATATCAATGCATATTTCTTAATATAGTCAAAAGCATTTCGATTCTCGTCTAACACTGTACAAAAAACAAAAACAAAACCTAGACATTCACCTCTCCCCTCGATCAGACTATTTCTTTGATCCCATCAAGATATCTATATATTTTATTCAATGCAATGTGTATACTTCATGTAACCGTATTTCTGGTCAACCACCTGTCAACTGTGTGCTTATCTAACACTGCTCGAAAACTTGATCAAAGCTACTTATACTTTTACTCCCAGACAATCATCTCTCAAAATACCTTCCGGGATCGTTAAATGACAAAGTATATATTAAGTTCACTGCAATGGTTAACTTCGATGAATACAAAAGTCTTACAATAATAAAAACAAATATATAAAATGCTGTACAGAACGACGAAATACTGAGTATGACAATATATTTAACCTTAACACTGACAGCATATACGATACTTGCTTGGGTTCACAAAACTAACAATCCGATATGTGAAAAATTAAAAATCATACAAGAATTTACAACTAAACATAAACAATCTACAACACTGTCAATGTTCATCATAACAGTACTTATTCTGTTAAGTTAGGAGACGAATTTATCAAAACAAAAGGTATATGTGTGTAATTTAGTTCAAGTAGTAAGGTTACGTTGCGTTGAATGATCAAGCTATCCAGTTTACAAGAAGCATTTCCCTATGTTTCCTTGTCAACATCTGTTGTCTCGTATATATTTGGAATGTCCACCTCCCTGCGTCCAAGCTGTTCATAATTTGCCTCATTGTGTGAAATCTGCGCAATGGTTTGTTCCTTGTTGTACGTTGCTATTTCGTCGTAGGTGTTATCTGGAAAATATATGATATTAACATGAGCTAATGAGCCGTAAGGTTGAAACATCCTAACACCGTCTGACGTTGGTTCAAACGAGGGAACAATGTGCATTCAAGGTATCGCGTTTCCTTTTCAGAAATCAATTCATTTGGAAACTTGTACTTTTTCATTGTAAACCCTCATGTTGTAAACATTAACATTAAAGGTTAAATAATTCATATGTGAATGTACAAAGGCAGTAGATGTTTACCTTGATTTTGTTTTAGCTCTATCGCAGTTCTCGACAATGATATATCTGTCATATGAGAAGAACCTGTGGTGTCGCTGCGCGTCATCGTCCGACGTCTGACCAGTACAATGACCAAGATGACCAGAGCCAATAAAAACAATCCAGATACGATGCCTATCCCGACAGCGGCGTCTTCATTCGTTATAGTTACCACTATAGCATAAAAGGTAATGAAGTTTCACTGCGTATGTCATGCATTTTCCGTTAGTATTATTTTCTTGTTATTGTTCCTCCTTTAATTTTTCGAATTGGAGTGATTTTTTGTTATTATATTCTACACAAAGTGTTGAATATAAATAAATGTAATACTGAAGAGATCACTCTAATAAATTGTTTTGAGAGGATAAAGTCACAAATATATAAATTGTAGGGATATCATGTGAATATTACCATTGGCGTCACATGTGTTTCCAGTCCATCCATCAGTACACCCTGTCGCACAGTCCCCAGTGCTCTTGTCACAACTCACACCTCGACATTTGCCACATGACTTTAAACATTGGCTGCCATAAAAACCGGCTGCACACACTACAAGCACAATCATACTCAAATGCCATAAAGTATCCTAAATAACTGGTTCTGTACATGTTATATTGCTAAGTAGGTTTCAGAATAAAAAATATAGGCGACACCTTATAAAACGGTATTTTCATGTAAATATCAATGGAGCAATGACAATTATGATAAAAAGGAAATATTTAAATGGGCACCCTAGATAACTTCGAGGAAAATACGACCAAGTAATTATGTGCACTTGGATATGATATGTTTTCAAAATAGACTATGATTGCCACATGAACACGTGATCATTGTCCTTAATACAATGCCAGCTTAAACTCGTAAACGTTTGTCTATTTTAATATTAAAAATCAAGCAATATCAAATACGACCCCTTACAAACTGTAACACCTTACTGGTTCCGTCTATATATTATCTAGCTCCTAATGTCGATTTAATGATTTCAAATATTGCCCCGAATCCTTTTTTAGCTGATGGTCGAATTATAACATTATCTATATACAATGTTAGATAGAAATAGAACCAGAGTGCGGTAGCAAATAAGTAATCAGGTCTCTGTAAAGTAGCTTTGGTCCAAATCATATATCCCTTTTACCAAACTAGGATATGTTCCTACATGATGTACATGCAGGTGATTTGTTGGAATTACACTGTTTAGTATTCTTGTGGTACAATTGCAACTAAACAAAACAAGTAAACTAGTATGGTATTAACGATGTAGTTACTTTCATCAGTGAATTTGATTTGATAGGCGCACTTTTTTCAAGAAAATAAGTTGAAAGTATGTCTCTGACATGTCATTGGGGACTTTTAATAAGTTATCTGTCGTGTTAGTCGTATTTAGAGTCATATTGCTTTAAGACGAAAACAAAGTAACTGCTTGTTTGAGCGGAAATAATTATAAATAACGGATAAATTACAATATAATTTATATCATAGTCAGCTTATATCAACTAAGTAAGTAGTCATTTATCATTATTTTGATATTCAAATGAATCCAAAAAGATAAAGTTAAAAATACCTGATCAAATAATTTTTCATTAGATCAATGTGTTTTTACAAAGAAAATCTTTTACTTCGAAATATGCTTACAAGTTCCCAACTCAAAATATTGATTCCTCAGTATGAACAAGTTCTCATCATTTTGTTTGGTCACTATCATCTTACCTATCTATTAATGTATCATGTACCATTGCTATTTTTTTTTTAAAGTCATGGCATATCAAAACTGATTTAGTTACTTATTTCTATATTTCTATTGATATGTTCAAGTGATTAAGGGATATTAATATTTGCTCACATTGATTTTCTATTGATAAAACGTTTCCTGCAAGGAACTGATGATTTATTAGTGGAAGCTTTCAATACAATCCCAGTATCTTCCCAAGATTTGAATAAAGTATAAAAAAAGTTTCAAGTCATTTCCAAGTTAGGTAAACATTGATACAACCAAACGATCGTACCTTCGCATTCTCCGCTACTTCTGTGACATAAAGTATCTTGACAGTTGACAGGACAAGACTGGTTACACTCAGTGTCATAGAGTCCTGCTACACATTCTAGAATAAAAAAAAAAAAAAAAAAAATAATGTCCTCACATAATCTTAATCAGATGTCACAATTACAAATCTAGATGTTTTGGTCCTTGATCATATCAGTCACCATCGCTTAACAAAACATTTCATTACCAAATAGACCAATTACAAAAATAATTTGTTCTTATCAGCATAATCCTATGACAACATAGAAAGTACGTTTTGACTATCATAATTTTCACAATTAAGATAATCTATATTGTATCAGTAAATAAAAGAAAAAATGTGTAAAGCTTTTATATTTTCAGAAATTTTACTTATTTCCCATTCAAATTGTAATGCCACATACCACCTATTGCTGCATCATGTACGTTAACTTATCGTTATTAGGAAACCAATATGTGATATAAACCTTGAATGCATGTCATTATTTTAAGATAATAAGGCCAGGTTTGTTTTTTAAGTAATCATTCGATCATGCGGTGAGCCTTACTTCATGTCGTGATAACAAGATAATTAACACGTCATTACAACATAACCATATGCTATTAAAACCGATCAATTAACATGTTACTACGAGATTGTTGGTCTAACATTTTTCTAGCGTAATTTGATAACTTTAAACTTGGAGACGCCGACATGACATACATGTAATTGTTCTCCACTCAAATTGTCAGAATAGCTGGCCAGCATAATCTGGTGGCTTCCATATTGGAACATGAAAGTTAACTGTTGAATTATACGTTGTGCTTTCCTTAGAACTGTTGAATTAGAAAACAGTTCACCCATGATAGACAACAGATTATTATTCTAGACAGTAGAATGGGCTGATGTTCTTGGGGCATGGACCACTTGCATAATGCCAGGATTTCAGATTGGAGATTTTTTTATGGTATTTTAAGATCAGTGTTTTCGCGGGTCAAATCAGCAAAATTGATAAAAAAAATCATATTCACTTTTATGATTTTTTTTTTCAATATGTCACTGGTAAAAATGTAAAGAAATATATTACTCCGACAAACTATTACATATGGTGTGAGATCTATGGTGTGGATCGTGTTTTTACGTTTGTGCACCTACGTTTATTTCTTCTTTGATATCGTTGAATATTATCTCGATATTATGAAATCACTATCATTAAAACTACAGTGTAATTATATTGAGTATCTTAACATAAACTCCTGCAGGTCATTGTAACTTTTACCTTTTTTCTTACTCATCAAAGTTTCATAAGCAAAATAACTACTTAGAAGAAAAATAAGGTTTTCTTACCTTAGCACTGACCGTTGTCAATGTTACAAACGTTGCTTTTATAGGTTACAGGGCAATGACTTACACGTTAGACAAATTTATGTCTAGTAGTGATATTATGTCGATATGAATCATGTATGACAATATACGAGGTCAAATGCGAAAATGGCTGGCCTAACATCATAGACCGATCCGGTGGTATATTTTAAATAGCCTATTTGTCAGCATAATCACCCTTGCATTCAATGCCTTTTTAGCGATGCTCCAATTAATAATACCATATCGGCAGAACTTTTCATCGTAATGATTAAAAAATGCCTCAACAGCACCTTATTACCACATCATCACTGTCAGAATGCCTCCATCGCAGTTTTGATTTGAGTTTAAAAAAATAATAAAACTCTGAGAAATATGGGGGATGGGAAAGACGGTAAAAGCCACACTCAACTGCTGCAGCTGGTGCCACTTGTGAAGTGTGGGCAGGTGCATTATCCTGAATCAAGAGGATACCTGATCTGAGCCTTCCTCTCTGGTACTCGTCAATAGTTCCTATAATGCAGCAGTATACTACTGCCCAGTGATGGTTTAACCTTTTTGAAGATTATCTACCATGATTATACCTTTATAATTCCAAATCACAGATGTTTTAGCCTTTCAAACCGGTGTTGTGCTCTTAAATTTCTTTAGCAGAAATGAGCCTTAATGTGTCCAAAAAATTGATTGCAGGATGACTCAGGATCAAAGTAATTAACCCATGTCTCATCCCGGCTCACGGTTTCCTTCAGAAAATTATCTTGGTTGCGCTGAAAACGTTCCAAAAGTGTTCTTGAAATATCCAGCCCAGTCAACTGTTGGTCTGGTGTCAATATTCTTGGAACCTATTCTGCCGAAAGTTAGTTAATGTGATTGACATCAGCTGTGGATGCGCCATAGCAACTTGTCGTGGGCTTTGATTCTCACTGCAGCCAACCCCAGGCACACGTTACAGACTGCTTTTCTGAGGATTAATACGACCTCATTTGGAGGGTGCAGTAGATACCAGCGAGTGGGGCACCAGGACCTTCCCATTCATCGGGTCAAGGTCAGCCGCAGGTTATCTGGCAAGTCACGGTCACTTAAAGGTCAGCCAGATCTTTGCTGATATGGAAATATGGTTCGAGAGAAGCGCATAGCGCGAATCATTGCTTTCAACCGGTAATGAAGGCTACGGTTAATCAGCTTTGTCAACCATACTGAAACAGTTGTCACCCAGCAGAGGACTATTGGTCCAGTATGCCATTCAGTTCAAACAGGAACAGACAGCACCGGAACTGTTAATTGGTGCATACAAGGAACATAGACTGGTACCATACAGTGATCCGACTTACTTGAAATTGTGAACTTTTGTATGGAAATTAATGTGTAAAAATATCTATGTGTATGTATGTTAATGAGTATTGTAGATATGTTTAGTGGACAGTTAACGGAGACGTTATGATCAGGGGTAAGTACCCAAGGTGAATGATCAGTATTATTGTATTGTTCTTACCTTTGTTGTTAATCTGTTACTATAGCAGGCATTCAGTAGCATATCGCTATAGAAAACGAACTGGGCTACAATGGCGACAAGCTACAGGTTTTCGTTAAAAAAGAACAGGCTAAAGCACGAGAACATGGAAAACGTATCAGAGATGTAAAGCAGGCAGTGGGAGACGCAGAAATAGCCATCAACATGGAAAATGAAAAGAAGAAACTCTTCGTAGAACAAGGGAGAATTGAGGCAGCGAGGGAACTGGAAAGGAAAAACTTCATGACTGAACACGCAAGTTTAGACGAACAGAGAAAAAGCAAGAGCTGAAGAGCAAGCTAACAAGGAGCACCAACGAATATAGAGCTACATCAAGCAGAGTAAAGCACGTTATGCGCTAATGCGACAAAGGAAGATCAAGTACAACGATGACCAAATATGCCATATTTTAAGGAAAACAAGGATAACATGGATGCCTACCTACAAAGTTATGCTACTGCACATAATTTGAACAGAGAGCAGTGGGAGGCTTACATGGGTGCGCTTTCCAAAGGTAAAGCTCTTGATGTGGAATGTGGAACAATCTTTAGACTTGGTTGCATAGTTGCAGTCAGTAGCAAGTAAGACATTATCTCAGTTTTCAGCTATCCCAAGATATGAAGTGAAATGACCAAGACGGATAAGACTTGTGTGACGTTTATTCTCAGGGATCAATTACTACATTGCTGCATTCAAAGTCTGACATAATTCATGAATACAAGAGAGGGTGCATCGAGAAAAAGAGCATCTGGGAGAACCATGCTTAATGCCATGAGTAAATCTAGCGAATCTAACAGAATCGACAAGTGGCCACAGTGGTCACAGAAATACCTAAACTGAGTTTATCATGAAATGTCAGGATTCTCGGATCTACCGATATGCCTGTTGTTAGAGGTTGTGTGGGAAAAATACTAGTATCCGGTAGAGTTGTCATTAAGAAGGAACTGGTCGTCTCAGGCAAGATAACGGATCAAACCCAGATTTGAACATTAGTTGACGGGTCGCGGTTCTGTGTTCCTATTACGGAATTAGACCTAGATACACCCTATTTTCGGTGAACTACTGATGCATGGGTCCTAGAGACGTCACTTTATGATCTAACAATAGGAAATGTGGAAGGTGCCCTACCACCGGTTCAACCCGATGTAACGTTGCAACAAAAGAACGAAGCTACAATGCATGCTGTGGAGACGACAACAACTGCAGAGAAGAAAACAGGGTTACATACCTCTTACTGTTCCAGAGGCTTTAAAGGATGTTGGTAACATAGATAAATCGAAAAAGGAGCAAAGAACAGACGAGTCGCTTGCAAAAGTTAGGAAATTGGCAAATACCTGGTCGGAAAATTAAACTTTTACATATATATTACGTATTTAACGAGCACTAGTCTAACCACCAATGAAGTCAAATAATTAGCAAATAGAAAACTGATTTTGAGCATCAACGTACATGAACATTTCCAGCAACGTCTGACACATAGCTAGTCGCGACAATGTGTCAGACAAGTCCGTAAAAGTTACGATTTATTTCAGAGGTGTTACAGATACCTACATTTGTGTTACCACTGAATATGCTACCCGTCATATTTGTTTCATTTATAGAGGTTGTTTACGAGATTAACTTCGGCTACGTAGATTATCATATATTTAATTCACATGAACTACTGAAAAAAAAGATGCCACAAATGACCATAAAGTCCCCTTTACTTCAAACTTATCTGAAAACATTGATAGTCAAAACTTCTAGTACACATTCTCGGTGTTTTGTTGTTAATGTTATAATTAATACAAATATTACAAAATCGTGTGCCGATTGATAATATTTATTGTCTCGATGCAGCAATTTGTATATACCATTTTCATTTACCAATGATGTGTTCCTTGTTTCAGGCTGTAAAATGAAATACGTCTTTTTGTTATTTGGTTTATGGAATCGGTGTGCTTATGATATGTAGTTAAATGGTCCTAATTTTAATGGACGTAATATATTAAGTCTTTGGTAAACTTGGGCATAACTGTGTCCCAGAATACATATTTGGTCGAACGGAATCAGAAACTTGCTATACCTCAAACTCAATTCCTCTTTCTGGTTTACTATTCCAAAACGAATTCCGTGTTTCTGAAACGTAATATTCTGCACTGCAAAATACTATCGCATGCATTTATGTCTCGACGATAAACTGAGAAGTTAAGATTGACTTAATCTCATCTTATTTACGCTGTCATATCATGTTTTGATTGGTTCATTATGAGAGGTGCTGCATATAGCTAATTTTATCTACAGTTCCAGTTAAATTTCTTTATCCCAATATCAAGATCTAATGACGATAGCGTTTAATATGATATTGCATCTATGTAAGAAAATACATGCACGATTATACTGATATCTGTCTGAACACTTTACAACCGTCTTCCATAAAATTCATCTGGTCAAGCAATATTCGGTTTTTAAGGACTAACAACGCTATTGAGATGTCGGTGATGGTTTTCGTTAAAAACGTAACAACGTTTCGTTAAGATTGTACACCATTTATGATCACCAGTAAATGCCTGATGATTAATGAGTCTTCCGCTAAAATAGCCGACAAGATCATCGTAGTTTTCCTCGGCTTTGTTTTATCTTTTTTTTCAGTAGAACGCGGCTATTTATATACATACTAAAGACGTTTGCTGAATGCAGCAAAAACCTTAATATAACCCTTACAATTGAGAATAGAGAGCCAAGATTTTGAGGATAAATTCTTGTTTGTTTGAACGGATCATTTAAGGATTCGAAATAATGCACGGGGAAACTTATAATGATTTTATTTTACTATTGTATCATTGTCTGTACCAAGAATTGTCAACATACCTGTACATAACCCACTGCTCTGATTACATATAGTTCCTTTACAATTGGACGGGCAGGTTGTGGTGCAGGTATCACCATAATATCCAGGTTCGCATACTAAAATGACAATATCAGCAGTCATTTGAGGTAAAATACATACAACGTTTATTTTATAACAAAAGGATAGATAAGGTATATGTTCAAACTAGATTTTGTTAAAAGGGATGGAGGCTTGAATTTACCATAAATAATATGTAATAAATAATGTGTTCACAATTAATCACTTGATATGAAGATACAATAGTATTGTGTTTATCTTCTGGTATTTTTAAAACTATCAAACATAAGAAATTATATAAATAGATTTACCACATAACTTTAAACATACAAAAAGAAAAGAAAACTATCTCTGATTAGATTTGTAGAAATGTATAACATCCTTTTTTTGCCCTTACATTTTTAATATACACGCAAAAATATTAAAGAATACGTCAAAAATGTCTTCCAATGACAAAGTTATCATACCTGTACATTTCCCTTCATATTGTGTGCATATGCTGTTTTCACAACTAGGGGAACATAGCCGATCACACTTAATCCCATAAAAGCCGTTCAGGCAAGTTGAAAGTACACATATATGTGACACCTAAACTCCATTTTTGTTATTTCAATCGTTAAAAATGTCCATGTGCGAAATATTGCATACGAAACTATTGTAACGATTTTACCTAAGCGAATTAACATTTTTTGGTGTGGAGAGGAGGTGGCAGGAAAAAATCAGCATGTAAAAATAAAGACGCAGAGCGCATAAGGACATGGTAAATAAAAACATCGCTGATTGTTAACATTTTACTGTTTCAATTTAAATTAAGTTAACTAACACTCATAATTTCAACTCAGTCATTCAATTAAATAATCGATCAATCATCCTTCTTCAGTCAACATCATGGATCAATAATTATCATCATTCTTAATTGATCATCATATTACACAATTACAAAACATAAGATCATCATCGCTTTCATCATCCTCACATACTTACCCGTCATTATCATCATTTATCGTTCTTTATATACAATCATCAATATATCATTACACATCATCATCATCATCATCATCATCCAATTAATCGATCAATCATTCCTCATCAGTCAACGTACATCTTGTATCCCTAATTATCATCAATCATTAATTCATCATCTTTATCATTATCCTTATATAATTACACATCATTATCACGATTACTTATATTCATCATTGATCATTAAATAAATCATTCTTCATCAGCCGTTCAATCAAGTATGATGAATTGATTTTATGTAAAATATAAGTACATGCATCTTTTTTTTCAGTTGCATCACAACAGTTAACACTTGTGTAGTTTTACATTAACACATCATCTTTCTATTCTTTACCCGCCATCCGTACAAAATCGTCCTTACTCACACCCACCCACACGCACACTTTTAAATACACAAACACAAACAAGCAAAGATTCGAAGAAATGCAAAAAATGAAAAGCTACTAAAAACAGTAAACACAATTACATGAATCAGTTGAGATAGAGACATAGAGAGAGAGGGGGGGGGGCTATTATTTTTATTTAGAGAGAGAGAGCTAGAGAGAGCGAAGGAGAGAGAGAGAGGCGGGGGAGTGATTAATAAAGTGTTGAGCACAAGATTATGAATAAATGAAATGGAAAAAAAAAATTGATTCTGTAATTTATGTCAAGGCCCAGGAGACAGGTATCAGAATATTTTTTTTACAAAACAAAAAGCTTTTCCCATTTTTTCCCATTCCTTTTCAAACTTCTCTCTATAAGTGTCTCCTTTGCTATTTGCTATAAATCTTTGTATATTATGGTAGTCTTTTATTGTGTTAACCAAAGCATTTATATTTAAGGAGCTATGAAGAAGACGCATTTACTATATATATAGTGTTTAATTATAATGAGTATCTCATTATCAATTCTACCATTCACATTTTGTGTAAGAAGTCCAAATATATAAAATTATTTAATGAAATCAAAAGGAATAGTTAGTGCATCTAACAGAGTTTCAAAACTAAAAAGAAGTTTCTAAATCTCTTGACATTCCCGTAAAATATGGGTAATAGTTTCAATCTCAGAATTGCAAAGTGTACACATAGGAGATACAACTATTCGAGTTTTAATAGGAAAGAATATGTTGTCAGAATATGGTGATTTATTCTATACTGAAACCACTGAAATTTTGTATAAGTAGTTATAGCAAAGGGAAGCTTAAAAATCTGATGCCAAGAAAAGTTACTAAAATCAAAGACTCTATTCCATTTCTTCGGTCCTGATGGATCAATGTTATGTTTTACCAGGATATTATAGAAATGTTTGGATCCTTTAGACGTTTTAAAGAATGGTTCTAACCGTACAGGAATAAAGGGACATATCAATTTCAATTTAGGAAAATCTGGATTAGAGTTGAAATATTTTACTGCAGAAAGAACACTGTGATATTAGAAAATTAGTCTGTATTTGATAAATTTGAGTGAATTACTGAACTGTATAAAAGGAACCAGAATTATAGTCTGTTATCAGGTCATTTATATTAATAACGTCTTTCTTAACCAATCCTTAATGAAAATTGACCTTCCATCAGTAGTAATTTTGTCATTAAACCATAAGGGGATCTTTAAGTATACCCCATTTTAGTTAATATTTATTTCATTTGCCAGATACAAGTTTTTTACATTTATTTTCACATAGCTTTATATAATCTTAACCACAATTCGCCAATATGTCTATGTTAACGTATGTTTTTAAAATTGCTTGCCATTTAGATGTACATTGAAAAAACTTCTAATCCAACCTAATTTGAGTGGGTCTATAACAGTTTTGATGTTGCACCATTAATGTAGTCTTGAATAACAATTTCTCTTTTTACTTTACCCACTTTACTGTTCCATAAGAATTAATAAAGTATATAATTATATTTACAAATAAGCGCTTCCTCTGGGTTTGGCGGTGAGATAATTAAATGATTAAATTGTGAAACCCAAATTGATTTTTTTTATGATTTTTTTACCAATTGGTGTTAATATTCTCCTATTCCATGATCTGATAAGTGATTTAAGTTTTGTTAGTTTTTTTTTATCGAAGTTCAGTTTAGGTATCTCATGTAAATTAATGTAAAATGCAATGCCAAGAAGTGTGAAGTTTTCCCTACCCTATTGTAAGTCAAGTTTTGGAAGGAATTTATCTGAGCTAATTTTGTTATTGCCAATCAAAACCACTTGAGTTCTTGAAATGTTAATTTTTAATCCTGATATACTTGATGTAGAAATTAAGTTCAGTAATAGCTTCCTGTAGTGTTCTTCCTGTACCATTAAGTACAAGTGCAGTGCCATCTACATATTGTGATAGAAGTATAGAACAGGTATCAACATTAATACCCTTAATTTTCTTATTGTTTTGATAGCTTTATAGCTAAAATTTCAGCACCAGAATATACCTATATTGAGCAATCGGGTCCCCTTGACGACAGCCATTTTTTACTTGAAAAAATGAAGACAGATTCCGTCACTGATTAATAACAGCACTAGCATTATTATGTAATGTTATAACCCAGTTTAATATGTTATTTCGAAAAAAAATGTAATACTTTCTCAATAAATGCCCAAGAAACCGAATGAAATGCTTTTTCGAAATAAATCATTAAAAACATATCTGAAATATCATTTTCCTATGGATATTGCATTACATCATATATCAGTGTAGTGTTTCCCCCTATATAACGACCCTCTAAAAACCCTGTCTGATCTATATCAATTATTTCATCCAAAACTATTTATATTCTGTATGCTATTGTACTAGAAGCTATTTTACAAACAACAGTTAGTAGTGTGATAGGTCTCCACTTTTTTTTATTTGCATGAGATAGTGCCTCGACGTTGTGAGATTGATTGATTACCTTTTGTATAGCCTAAATTTATAGATTGAACAACAAAGTTACCTAAATATTTCCAAAAACACTTGATTCAACCGTAAAGCCATCTATACCTTGAGTTTTAATATTTTTCATACGTCTTCACGTTTTACCAGCTTCTTCCAATGTGATTAGGCCATCCAACTTTTCAGAATCATGTTTACCTTTTTTGTTTACATTATAAGGTTCCAAAATTTCATTTTAATTTACATCTGCTATGGCATTATAAGAATCATACAGCTTTTCATAAAATTTCTGAACTTCTTTCAAGATGTCTGCCTGATTTGTAATTGTTTTTCCGTTTTCTGATTGTAATTTAGGTTTAATTTTAGAGAATTTCTACTTTCCCGACAGCAAAAACAGCATATAGGCTTCTTCCCCTCTTCTATCCATTTAGCACGTGATCTCACTATACTACTTTTTAATTGTCTGTTCCCTAATTTCCTGTAATTTTGTGTTTATACTTCTAAATCAACAGTATCTATTTCATCTTGTTCTTCAATTGCCTGAATTGTCTTCTGAAGATTGTCTTCCCGTACATTTTGTTGTTTTTCCTAAAGGATGAATAAGATATAGTTCTACCTCTAATTTGCAAAAGTAATGTTTCAAGAAATAATTGATCGTCGATCATAAACTCAAACTCAGCATCTGAAATGATATTTATATTATCTAAGTTTTAAACTGGAGGACAGTATTGCGCTTTCATCTCACTGATACAAGTTTTTTACCATATTTAAGTACTCTAGTTCCTGTAATAGACTATTATTAAATTTCCATACTCCTTAACCAGGTTTAATTTCATTAATTTTCAAAGATATCATAGGGAAATAATTGTCTGATCGATAACCAGATTCTATTTTGGATTTTTCAGTACTAGAAATGAAAATTTTATATGATATCAAAAAGAGGTCTAAGTGAGCCCGTTTGAGTGGGCTACTTTTCCTCTATGTGTATCTTCTTAAGTCTTCATTTTGTTCTCTAAAAATATCTACCAGTGAAAAATTATCTATGATTTCTAATTTTGTTTCTCTAGCTTTAGGATTGTTAACATTTTTTTTTATGTTTTTTATCATAGTCAGATTTAGGAATTAATACCTGGCTAAAATCACCACAAATGAGAATATATCTATAATAGTTTCAATAATTATATCATTAAAATCAGGGTCATCCTTATTTTGGCCATACACATTAATAAGTGTAAGTATAAAAGTCTCAATTACAATATCGAAGGCTTACAAATTGCCCGTGTTTTCTTTCTTTTCTTTATTCACTTTAAATTTAAAGTTATTTTTAAAAAGAATAGCTACGCCTCTATCATTTGATTTAAAAGAATTAAAGTAGCACTGAAAACCCCATTCACTTCTTATAATATTTCCCTGTTCTGAAGTAAAATGTGTATCTTGCAAGCAGAAGACATTACTACTTGTCAACCAAAGATAAGAAAACACATCTTTACGCTTAACTGTGTCTCCCAAGCCCTGATCATTAGCCGATACAAATTGTGTCTGTGCCATAGCTGTGACCTGAGAACGAGTTTATTTGTTCCATCCCAGAAATAAGTAGAGGGAAAGCAAAGATCTATAAAGAAATTAAAAGAAGAAAAACAGAAAACATGAAAGACAATAGTAAAGTTGTCATTTCATAGATACTACCGCCTACAGCACAGTCTGTACCAGAATACCTGAGATAGATGACCGTGTCTGCAGACGGGGTTCGCTGAAGAAAGGAAGTAAGTACAACACCGGAAGTAGTATAGTAACTATCGGATAAGGTAGACTGTTATAAAATGTTATAAAATTCCGGAAACATAAGGGAAGAGAGGGAAAAGATTGGATTGCAAGGAGAATATAGCTGAGGCTTTTAAACTTATCAGACAAAAAATCCGGAAACGTCAGTAGCATATACATTGTACTGTATATATTGTAAAATATATTTTTTTAAGATATGGAGGCATGTCTATAGATATGCATGTGTATCTAGATATACATTTCGATATATATATATATATATAATATATATATATATATATATATGTATATATATAATTAGTAGTCAATAATCACTTACAAAAGCAGTTAATATTACTGTAATGATAAATAAATAAAATAAATGAAACGTAGACTTACCGGAGTATAGGAATAATAGATCCCATACCATACACACGATTAAGCAAAACACTCACTGTAAATTATCCAAAAGAAATGACACAATCACAGACTCACACATTTAAACACTGTCCAAACACTGTCGTAATATCGGTAAAACCAGGGTACTTCCTGGCGGCACCATCGTCCTAGTCCATTACCGATCAATATGCGCTAAATACACATATTTACACAAAGTTGGAATCTTCCACAAGAAAACTGTCTGTGAGTGGTGTGCAAAACTGGAGCCTTCTCTTTCTACCAACAGTCAGTATAGAGAAAAAAATACCGTCCGCACTGTATGAGTTCTTCACACACTGAAGTGAAAACGCGTCATTGATGATCTGCTGGTTGATCTTCGTGAGATTCTCGAAAACCGTTTCTCCAGTCTTCTTCAATTTTGAGTGGGCTTTGCTGACCTCGTTCCTTTTTCGTCGATGCGTAAACTTGACGATGATGTTTCTCTGTCTTTCCCGGTTAAACTTTCCAAGACGATGAGAAATGTCAATGTCCCCACTAGTAATATGCACCTCAAGTTTGGAAGACACAAAGTTCAGGAATATGTCCATACATTCCTCCACAGTCTCTGAATCAGATGCGTCCTTAAGTCCGTGTATTCTGAGTGATTCATTGCGGCCGTGCTGCTCCAAATTGTTATGACGTGCTTCTATAGCGTCCATAGAACCTGGGTCTCCAGGTTTCCAATGGTCAGACGGAGATTCTCTGCTTCCATTTCCAATTGGAACACTCTCCCTTTGAGTTCTTCAATCAGTTCTTTATCTTGGAATCAAAGTCTGCCTTTGTATTGAGTGTAGTTAACAAGGATGAAATATCATCGGGTCTGTCCTCAATATTCTTATCCGCTGCCCTGGTCTTAACACCGGCTGCTCCTCCCGTACTGTGCTTTCTGCTAGCCATGGTTTCCACTGAGTATTACATATATCAAGTCAACATATACAAGTCCATGTAGATATAGTAGAGTGTGATGTGAGCAGTAGTCACTTGGTAGGGTATCAGGCCATTGTCCTAACTCAAAACGTCCAAAACACACATTTCCATCGAAAATTCCAAAAAACAGATACGGATAAGAGATAAATTAATCACTTATGTAGTTTGTAATCCAAAAACTATACTATAAAACGTGTAATAAATTAAAAGAAAACCTTTTTTTGTCGGAGCTCCAGTAAAAGGACTACCCAGGCTCAGCGCGACATTGACCCTCTTATACATAGTAATTATAGTAAACAAGTTTAAATTGTGGTGCATTCGACAGAATTTCCAATGCCATATTGGACTTACATAATACTTTTTAGCAAAATTAGAAATAGTAAAGGACCATTAGCATCGCGATGGCCTCCACCCATAAATATGTCAGTCGTTTATAAACCACAGCGACCATGTTTCATAATCGATCGAAACATGAAACTGTTAATACACAAAACATGCTAAACGTTCCCTTATCTATAATTAAAAAAGTGATTGGCAAATAGAAAAATATGACTGTTTGTGAGCATCATTGTACCTGAACAATCCCCGCTACTTCTGTCACACAGTGGGTCTCGACAGTGTGCCGGACAAGTCCCCTTACAGTCAATGCCATAAAACCCGGATGCACATTCTAAACACAATTAAACAAATACATGTTTAACGTCTCGTTGCAGTAATATTCACACATTTTTTTTTAATTTTTATTATAGCAATTATAGTTGCCTTGCTGTAGGCTGTGTACTAAAATACCTCCTTTTGTTATTTGATATATTTAAATTGTGTGTTTATAATGTACATTTAAAGTATCCTCTTGACGTATGCTATCAAGTTTCTAACTGCGATATAGTTTGCGATAAATAAACTGAGAATATCTTTACGCAAGCTCATAATTATATCTTTCTGAACACATGCTAACCGTCTCAGATAGACTGTATCTGGATAAACAAATTTTGGGATTAAAAAACTAACAATGCTATTGAGATAACGGTGATGGCTTTCGTTAAGAACGTTTCGTTATGATTGTACACCATGTATTATCACCATTAAATGTCCTAAATGTATTGCTATACACACCTAAAACGGATAATTAATGCAGCAAAACCTAGATGTTACAGTAGTCAATGCAATAAAGGATACACATCCTAATATTTAGAATTAATGTTTTTTATGTGTAACCGACCATTTCACGTTTCAAACTAATAAATAGGGAAACAATAATTATATGATTTTACTACCGTCAACGGCCTTACATATCACCATACCTGTACATATCCCAAAGGGCTGAAAACATATATCCCTTTTACAATTGGACGGGCAGCTTGTGTTGCAGGTATAACCAAAATATCCAGGTCTGCATGCTTAAATAACAACACCGGCAGTCATTGGAGACTAAATTAATACATCGTTCTCTTTACTTGACCAAACCAGGCCCGATAGATTAGGTATATGTTCAAAAAAGAAGTACAAGAAAATGCAGTCTTGAATAAAACACAAATACGATTTTCCAAGTACATTTGTATCTCTTTTCAAATAAGTATACAATTGTATCGTGTTCTATCTTCAACTGCATTTAGAAATGTAGTCAATAATATCAAATTTGAACAAATAATTCTAATACATTATCTTTGGCATACAAAACGAAGATCAAAATACCTCAGATTTTTTTTTTTTTTTTAATGTTTTACATCATTTTCTTGCCCTTGTGCGTTTTATTATACTTCTAGATAAACAAATGGCAACGATGAGTACTGAAATGGAAATGTGTACCTATTGTATATATGTATTTGAGGCATTGTCTACAATGATTTTATATAATAAGTAGACATGTATTTTGAATACTGCTTACCATATGCTGATTTACTTGAATAAGAAAATGTTATAATGAACATGATGATATACTGTTAGTATGATAAGACATATCTATATGTCATCACTTTACCGAAAGCCTATACGACGCCAAAGCAAAGACAATACGCTATCTTTAGATATATGTAATTACATGCACATCCTCCGGTCACTGGATCACACAGGCTATTGGCACAACCTACATCACAATCTGAATAACAATTACCATCACCATATTTCCCAAGCGGACAACCTGAAAGATATTAACATACGAGTTTGGACATAAGCCCATCTGTTATCATTTTAATAAATAATAAACTATATTTAACCAATTTGTATTGTGCTACCATTGTCCAAATACCATTGATGCACACATTTCTGTGTATGTTACATCTTCCACAACGTTATAATGATGCACAGACATGAATACTAACTTTTTAATTGCAAAATAATTTACTGACTTGTAGATATACAAACATTTACAAATGGCAAGGATGAGTACTGAAATGGAAAACACCAATTATGTAACTGTACAAAAAATATAAAATTGAACAGATATTTTAAGTATATTGCAAATATGATAATATGGTTAACCATTTATCTTAGATAGTGTTTCATGAATATTCATCTTTGTCTAAAATTCAACTTCTGAAAGTGTCATTATCCCTCAATACTCTCTACTAATGTGGATACAACGTTTTAAGGTTAAATATGTCAGCTACGTACCGTACACTTCTACCTCACAAAGCGCCAGAAAAGCGCTATTAGAGTACCACGCTAGACCTCCTGACCGCCTGTCGCTGTATATCGTCAGGTACTTGGCGCTACCTGTACATTGTATCTGGGGAGTCAATGATAACGTGGCTGGCGTTGATGTTGTGTCTTTATAGCAAAGGTGACCGTTCCGCCAATCCGAAGTGTTCGACTGGTATATTTGATAGCCACCAAATTGTTGTTTTTGCTGATACCCTTCATCTAAGTTTGATAAACAAGATTATCCAATAGAGCTTATGCGTATATACTGTTTTTACACAGGACTATTTTCGTGTTTTCTGTGACAAGCGACCAATGCAGAAACATCATGAGGAAACACGGATTTTTTATTTCATTTTCTTTTTGGGATAAAACTTCTGCAGCATACATTTTTACGTGCGGTATCGCTATATTTTTATTTCCATTCCAACTATTTTTTGACGCCCTACTTTGTAACACTTTCCTTTTTGCCCTTATCATAAACTAGGTATATATATCTTGATACAAAAATACATTTATCTTTTTATTGGTTATGTTTTTATTACGTTCTATTAAATTTATATATCACATTAAAGCATGTATAAAGGGAGGACTCATTGATTACATGTTGGTTGTTCTCATCAGTATTTGTTTTAATACAAGTGTGCCTAACAAGGCTTGGCTTTGTCACAACTCATATCCGTAGGTTCACGCACATAAGTACATACATGTATCGACGGTTGACGTGTGTTAACGTATACACCGAAAACCGTGTCATAACACTTGAGGTTTACAATACCAGTATTATACACAACAGTCCGTCGTTAATAATCAAGAATTCAATCAGGGTCGATACAAAACAGTCTTATGGAAACCTCTGGTGTAGAGACGATTCAACAGTCATAATATCGACTTGATGGTAAGCATTACCAACAACATAAACAACCTGACATGTTTATTGTATACGATATACGTCATTGTATGTACATTGCATGTTGCTTTTTGTGTTATTATGTTAAATGATGTCAAGCTATCCTTATCCTTGTTGTTTTTATCATTCTCGGGGTAGACCTAACGGGCCGTTTAACCATGCATAGCTAAAATAAAATGTCCTTCTATACTTAATTATGTAAATATAGTTTTTGAATGTCAATGATCTCAGGTCCGGGATCAACGACTTTCCAATAACCAGTGCCATATGAAGACGGGTGGGATGAGGATGGAGTGGAGTTACATTAGTCATCTTTCACGACATGCAATCAAACATCGCAGTGCCGTCTTAAGGTCACGACTAACACGTCAAACCTTTAGAAGGCAGAATTTTGTTTGATTGTTGAATAAAGAATCAAAATATATAATTACTCACCTCTGAAGTATATTTTGACGTATTCCATAACGACCAGTTCCTCTAGATCAACTTGCCACCATGCCTCCTGTTGGCCTGTTTGTGTGTGTGAACAACAGCTTTGTTTGTCGAAGATTTGTTTTTTACAGCCATCCACTGCCTTGCCACTACTATATGCAGCATTGAAGTTTGAACTTTGAGTGGTGTTTTTGACATTTGGCTCACGATTGGTGTTAACTGTAAAAATAATGAATTATTATTGTATATCTATATATATATATATATATATGACTGATCTAAAGTACTAATCATTGTCACTATTCTCAGCATTGCAATGTCATCCATGTATACATGTGTTGATGGTAAAATCAAATATTAAAAGACAGAAATGATGAGCAGAAATTAGTGGAGAACCGATTTTAACAAAGGTAAAAAAAGTATAAAATATACCAACACAATAGTTTGAAAAAAGAACCAGGACTTTGTTATTTCCTTTTTAAAGATTCCCTTTTTAACTTATGTTTGTCTTTTAATTGAAACTGCTAATTAAATTATCCAGATTTCTTCTCCGTTTTGAAATATATGATACAATGCATATGCAGCTAATAAATAGAATTTAAAAACATCTATAAACGAACAAAAATAGTTATCACTTATGAAATATGCTGATGTTAGAACATACCCTCTCGGTAAGCTTGAAACCGTTGCCTAATTATGGTTAAACAAGTAGGTACTAAACAGAGGTCAAAGATTGGAATTGTCGGATGTTAAGACTAAGTTTATAACAAATGTTATTATAATCGTTGTAAATTATAATTAATATCATGGTAAAAGTAAATTAAGAAAAAAATGTTGAAAAAAAGAGAACTCAATTTAATCTGTATCGACAATTTTGTCCAGCAAAATGATCGCCAAAAAGAAGTCATAAACGATGCCCTCCACGAAAAAAAAAGGCACATTTTTTTTTTTATATATATATGTGTCCGTCTTGAAAAAACGTACGGATATATCTTTTAAAGTTGTTCGGATCCAGTATCTGAATTTGATCATAGTTATTATTTAGGAGACCTATGGGACAAGGAAGTAATGTATACAGTGTAAACATTATGAGGTCGTAAACCTTTCGGAGAAATCTGCTCCTTAAAAACACAGAACACTTACCTTACGTAAACACCAACTAGATGTAATATGATACTCCTAATATATAAAGACAATAAGCCCCTCGGTTAATGCATACAAATAAGTTGTAGGTTGAATATATTGGTTCATACCGATTATGGAAGACTGATGTTTTACTGTCATTGGCTTGCGAACAGTGTTGTAGAATCATATCAATCGCTCAATGTTAATACAATAGAAAGAACAATAGCGACAAATCACCATTGCAGAGCAATATTTGAAACACAGCTAGTATATTGTCTATGTACATAACCTGAAATAAATGCATATCGTTTGATACTATGTCACAACAACTCAACGCGGAAGTTTGAAACATGAAAATCGGGTACAAGCTATACAGTTACCCCTACCTTCTATACAAGCAATGCGTTCTATGGTAAAACACATGGGGCTTATGCTACGGGATATACATGTAAGTCCAGATCAACGTGACGTATATGTTTACTATTAGAATGAAGGAAAAACAGAAAGTGCACATCCAATCATACCTGATGTGTTGACAATTTCCAAAGTGAATAAGAGACACAGAACCTCCAGCAGCCAGATAGTACACACTTCCATTCTACATATCCTGCGTATCGTTTAAAGCAGGAGATTTGTGTCTGTTCTATCGCAAGTAAACAGGTATCCAATAAGGAAGTAAACGTTCTGCTCTACTAAACTACAAAAAAAAATTAAGGTTGCAGTGCATTTTTCTGTTGTTTTTTTTAATTTTGTTATGTTGCCTGCCGTAAACATGTCTAAACTTATCTAGATATATTATGCAGTTTTCGACTGGCAAATACTTTATATATGTCGAAGGCATCAGGTACATTCTGATAATAAATCGACGGGTTTCGTTGGCAAGGAAAGCTAATTCATTAGCATCATTATTATGTAAATCAAAATGGAAGTACATTTTATTTTCAGAAAGAGGATTGTGTCGGTAAACCTGTCTTGATCGATTTTCTCCTATACAGCTTTCACTTATCTGTGTCTCATTGTCCCTTGTTCTAGCTATATAACCGACATACGAAACTCAAAACGAGGCATATTGTTGGACAGACCTAATTAGTACATCACATGATAATGAAGAAATATGGTCCTGATGTAGTAGTGAAGATATGTTCATTTTATTGTTGTGGTTTCATTTTATGCTGTATTCAGAATAAGCCTTTTCTACACATGTACCTGAAAATATATCAAATCGAAAAGATGGGTGCTCATGTCAATTCATACGCCGCCATGACTGTTTTTTTTTAGATAAATGCTTTAGTGTAAATAGTTTTGTGAATATTATTCCTTTTAAGAAATGTTTATACCTTAACCATGTCTCTGTCCTTCTTTTCATTAGAGCTTGTATAGTTTAAGAATATAAACAAGACGACGATAAAACAAATTATCATTTTCAACACATATAGCCTAAACAGTTGAGTGTTATCAACAGATAATCTGATATGTAAATATAAAATATTTAATAGGTCTCGCGTGTCTTCTATAAGTATACGTCGGTGGGGATATTATTGTAATGTTCATTAGACGTTACTGCAGGTAAATATACACCGCGGTGTGTCCTCATACAAAATAGACCGGGTTCTTTAGAAAACGATATTTATGAATAAACTATAAAAGTAATACTGTAAAGGAATATGCGTGTAAGGTATTTCATCATTCCTAGTTATATACAAGGTAGAATCAGTTTAGTACTGCCAATACTTCTGTCTCGATTTTGTTCTATATAATGCATTTTTCATTGCGTGTGGCCTGAGCTCTACGTAGATAACATATCTGTCAGTTCAGAAATATTAATTAGTAATTTGCCTAAACAAGTAAAAAGTAAAATAAAATTGTACGGTAGTATTAGTTTGTAAAGGCTCCAAATCGTTGCATCAAATTAGAATTTGCATACAAGTTTTTAATGTGTTAACTGTCTTGTATTGATATAAATTCAATTTCTCGCAAAGGTTTCTAATTTGAAGGCATTCAAATGTGATATGTATTGTCCTTCTTGCAATTGTATTTCATAATTATCTTTTTTTAACCATAACACTTGTGCCCTGTTACTACTACAGACCACTGACCTTACAGGTACAAACGTCTCCATCATGGTTCGCTGCCCCATTTTACTGGTGCTGTGTGTGGTACCAATAAGTGTCAAAAATTCAACAACGAGTTTATAAACATGTTAGAGTGGAGGGGGAGGGGACAGGTATTGATTGAGCAGTTTACTTCACACACACATACTAATCTAAATCAGATCAGCTTGCAACGCTCGGAATAAACACAACACATGATATACTATTTACATTTCCACTGTACAGATCCTGGATGTTTATACTGGGCCCAATGCATTGAGCTATTGTGACGTCGCACCGCGTATGACGTCATAACTGCAACGTTGGAGATTGCACTGCTCCAGTGTCAACTGGTGGCTGTTCTCTGTATGGATTTACCCTGACGTTGAAACGTGTTCAGACTAATATTATGTCTTTATTTCTGCGTGAACTGTAAGTTGGTCAACATAAAATGTAAATATAATTATTGGTTGTCATATTTTTGACATGCATTGGTGTGTAACATACACAAATGCATGTCAAAAGTTTGACTACCAATCATTAATTGATTTCCCCATCAAGATGACAGTGCGTCATAGACGTGTTACGTCTTTGTACGTCTCCGAGTGCGTACACCAAACGGAGCTTAGAGGTGTTACATTATATCATTCTTGAATTCATCGAAGGGATGGGTGCTCAGGGTTTTCAAGCGCCCGAAAATTCAATAAACCTTTTATCAAACACATTTCCTCTGATTTAAACATATTATTACCTTACCACAGGCAACATTTAAAATGTGTTAAGCGAGTGCAATGTCCTGCATTGCACCAAAGGGTATACAATTCCGAAAAAAAATAATAACAGAAGTACACAAACATAAACTAAAATATAGCAAGGTTATCTTTACAAGATCAAACAGTGTACATAAACACTGTGTTATTAAATTAAATAAATAGTTAATAAGTTTGTAATGAACCTATCTTGCAATCTCTGTCGTTAACATACCGCATCACGTTTGAATAGTCATGCTAAAATATCTTTTGTTGAACATGTTTAAAAGAAAAAATATCGCATCCGTCTTTTGGCGGTCATCATCTATAAATCAATCATGGATATTATAAAATGTTATGTGTATAACGTGTCTCCAATAACGGTGGAAAATCCTATGTTCTGTGGGCTAAAAGTGTCATCTTGAAACGTGTTACAAAACCCGCACAGAAAAATAGGAGAACTTCATCTCAATTTTACTGACTTGGTTAGACTACATGTATGTCATCTGAGAAAGATACGTTCTTTGTGATAAAATATGGTTCAACCCTACAAATAGATCGACCTCGTTAAAACCCGGGCTAGTCCAATGTTCTATCTGAGGGAGATAAGTGTTACGTTTGTCTGTTTAAAGATTTACAGAAACTGTAAAGATCTTTTCTCTCCAGTATTTGAGTAATGACGTTGACAACCAGAGAGGATAAAATTCATGTGGATATTTAATTATGAGAAACAGCAAGCAATGTATTATTTACCGATGAAATATGCACACACTCTCTCTCTGTATTACAATACTTTTAACGGTTGGTAATATTTAATGGGATACAATAATCTATCCGTCAGTCTTGATAATAACACTGTACCAGTATTTGACCAGAGTTCCAGAACCAGTAAGAGTTGTTTCCCTTTGCCCGGTAAGTTTAGAAAACTATATCGGCTAAGTTTGAAACTTGGTCTAAAAATGCGACGTTGGGAAGATCCCATGATGCTTCATTGTCAGCTGGCCCAAAAGTAAACAATTTCATTTCAACAAATTTTATTTATGATTGTGTATGAATGGGATCACCAACAGGTTTTGCCTATATCAGTTCTCCCCTACATGCATTTGTATGAATCAGCATATACGAAAAACTGAAAATAAGGACACAACGTATATACAAAACAAATATAAATGTACAAGCTATATGGTAAAGGGAAAATAACTCAAACTGATTATGGAAGTTTCAGGTCAAACTGTGCTACTTGTTGACCTCACCGGAGTGATGAGTGAATATTAGACATCTTTCTACACTAGATCCTCCATGGGAGTTTACAATCAAAACAGAGTAACTCATAGATAGATTGCTTCCCAACTTAACGAAAATAATAATACCCTACCAATAATCCTACACTTAGTACTCTATACCGTAGAAAACGACAGGAAACTTTTTGTATTGCTGCGTCGGTTTAATGTAATGAACGTCTGGATTGTGTAGGGAAAATTGTCAAATCCGTGATGCTGTCATACAAATGTAATGATTTCGTTCACTTCTCAGAAGACGTTAGCGTATTCATTGACTTCGACATTGTAAAAGTCCTACCGTAAACAATATGGCTAGGACTTTATGGAAACGCTTTAAGTCTTAAACAAATGTTAACTGAACATGTAGTTAAAAGCAATAAAATGTTATTTATAATGCAAAGTGATGAGAGTTTATCACGAAAATCGAAGGTATTGAGGGAGTCATACAGCCGAATGGTTTGGATTGTGAATTTAAAGAAGACTATGCTAGAGGATTGGCAACACGACAGCTTGCTGAAAAGGACTCACTTCCAGACTGGGTTGAATCTACTAGGTCCATAATTCAAAACTTGGCATACATGGCTTGAAATTGAAAATGAAAACAAAACACAAGTTTGTACATCATATTCCCTACGCCATGGCCACATTAATACTTTGATATTTGCCTTAACGGTATTTTTGTGTTTCATTTCCTATCTGCAGAACAGACTTTATTACTTTAAATAATTAGGTGTATATTTCATTGTTCTAATAGTATTTTGTACAGACCAACAAGGAGATCATCTTTTATACTTTACTATCTAAACATCAGCGTTCAATGCCCACTACAAATATCCATGGACAATGATAAAAAAATATTCGAACATATTACAGATATTATGTGCGTGATAGCAGTGAAAGCCATTCGTTCCAAAACTACAATACTATCAGGGGGTTTAGAAATGAAAACAGTTATAACACGGCTAAAATTAAAATAGAATAATGCGAGTGTGATGATCAGGATGCCAAACAGAGATGTCAGACTAAGTTCTGGTTACATGTATCGGTCAATTCAAGGGTGCTATTCGCTGATCAATGAGACGTGGTTTGATATAAGAGGCAAATGTTATGGCTGTGTCAGAAGACAAAGTATCATTAATACTTTGATATAAGCCTACATTTCCTATAAGCAGAAAGAACTTCTATGTATTATTGGGTGTATATTTCCGTGTTGTAGGAGATTGTTTGTACATACCAACAAGGTGATCACCACTCATACGTTCTTATCTAAACATCAGCGTTCAATGCCCATTACAAATATCCATGGACACTGATAAAAAAATCGAACAGATTACAGACAATATGTGCGTGATAGCAGTGAGAGACGTGATTTCCAAAAACGAAAAATATATCAGGGGGTTTAGAAATAAAAACAGTTATAACACGGCTGAAAATAAAATAGAATAATGCGAGTGTGATGATCAGGATGCCAAACAGAGATGTCAGACGAGGTACTGGTTACATGTATCGGTCAATTCAAGGGTGAATTCGCGGATCATTGAAACGTGGT